ATTGACCTTGGCTCACTGCCCTCAGGCCTAAGGGTTAAGGCCTAAGGCTTTAATCCCTATAAGGCTCTTCTAGCCCAGGCCATCAGGCCCATATTCTCCACCCCAAATCCCAGGCATTCCTTCCAGACATTCTGACCTTCATTCTTCCAAGATATGCCAAGGCGATACCCCTCAGGGCCTCTGAACCTGACACATGTGGCCTCATCTAAGAATATGAGCGTCACTCAAGTGTCGCCTCCCCAAAATGCTTCATTCTCCGGTCCTATTAGGGTTCACTTTTCACTACCTAAAAATTATCCTCTGAAATTACTAGTTTTTACCTGATTCTCCCCAAGAGAAGTGTCACCGCCCACAGGACAGGGGCCTTCCCTTTCTTGGTCACCCTGATCCCCAACATCTGCAACAGCTCCCAGCACTGAGCAGGCGTGATAAACAGAGTGGACTTCCATTCACAGAGCACCTACTATGGGGTTGACAACCCTTTCTCCTTTCACTTAATTTAAGTATCACGACGGATAGTTATTACACCTCCATTTGACAGAGAAGGAAGTCATAGATCTGAGAGGTTAAGTCGCTTATCTGAGGTCTAGCTCCCAAGATTTGAGACTTTTCGAACTACACTAGAGAAGAGACAAACAATATGCAACCCTCTAACACCAGAAGATGGGCAGTCACGGAACGTCCTCACAGCCTAATGGTATATATGGGTTTTGGGGATTGACTTCAAATCATCCTATTAATAGGCCACCACAGACCCTCACTGCGCAATAGATACACCACTCTCTCTCGCCCCCTCTCCCACAGAGTTCTTCCAAGCCACCCACATTTAATTGAGCAAATCCTCCTGAAGTGTTCCATTTAATTGAGTGGATCCCATCAAAGTGTTTTTACTTAATTGGCCTGATTAACTGTTCAAATCCCAGAGCCACAATCCCCAAGTGAATCGTTCATTACCCCTTCCCATGTAGCAACAGGGGTGGCCCTTCCTGTACCAGGCTTGCCCAGGAGACTTTACTCGAGGGCACTTCAATCACCACCCACCATAACAGAGCCCACGGACACACAGAGATCATTAAGAAGGTGCTCATAAAAACAGGAGGGAAAACGTGAGCCCTGATTTCACAAAAAGAAGCCAAACTCTGTATAATTAACCAAGTATATCGGGTAAAAGCTTTAGGAAAAGCAAAGAAAAGATCATTTAAAAAGATAATACACATTAACCCCCACTGCGGTTAAAAATAAAATTATCATCAATCCGGAAGACAATCTGATCATTTAGAAGCCATGCCGTGTAACTGTTCTACTTTAAAATTTTAAAATGGTGGACTGATCTGGAAAAAAAGCCAGACGTTGTGACCAAAGTGACAAAAACAGGTGTTCGGTGCCTTCCAAAAGTGGACCTCGGGGGATCAAGGTCAAAGCAATTCCAGGCAGAATATGAAAACCACTATCATGGACCCCATAGATACAGCGGGTGAGGCTGACCTTCAACGTAAGTCACCGTGGAAAAGCATGCCCCAAACCTCATATGGTGTACTCCTACACCCATCCCGGAAATGGCAGTTTGGAGAAAGATATGGGAAAACAAATCTCTGCCTCTTAACATAAATATTACCCTCCTTTAAGTGACATCTGAAGTGCAGTATAATGACTGTACGCTCTCAGAGAGCAAAGGCCCTGTCGAGGCCGACTTCAGAGTCCACCTTGAACCTAGTCAAGTGCCATGGACATCGCAGTGAACAAAGGGAAGTCACGTCCACGCTAACCCACTGCCTAACAATCTGAAAAACCATGCTTTGTAAAACATGAGCACTCATTGAGTGAACAAATAAATATCCCTGACAGTGCTTTAGATGGCAATGTGAATTTTAACCAAGTTATTTAAATCGAACTTTCTGTAGAGGATCAGAAACATTAACGGAACCAAAATAATCATTCCACTTTGATCAGAAAAAACAAAGTAATGGAGTCAATGGAAACAAAAACCAACCTGTGTCCAAATGGTAGGGAACCAGATGTCTTCTGGTCGCCTTCAGCTGCGGCCCCCTCCTCAGGATGTCCGGCTACTAGGAAGGGTCGCTTCGGAGCCTAGAAAATCAGTGTTCGTTGGATCCCACAGCACAAATACCCAAACAACCTCCTCAGCAGGTGCTGTCCATCCCTGGGTAGTAGGGGCAGGGTACAGGCAGCAAGGCCACTCAAATTAGATCTACCTGGAAACTTCTGGAAAGTTCCAAGTGGTGCCAGATCACCTAGACTCCCAGGAGTATATCTAGATAAGGACCTACAGCAGAATGTCCTCAGGCCCCAAAAGACAACAAATAGCTCCTGGTGTTCCTAGTGCTCTGAGCCAGAGCAAAAATGTCCTGGGGGGGGGAGGTTATAGGTCACACAAAAGAACTCTCTTCCATATTTAATTCAGATGGACGCCTTCGGTTCCCTCTCCCATCTAAATGATCACCTGGACTCCCAATTTTCCTGTCTCTCAGCAAAGACAGTTTGGTGACACTAATAGATATGAAAATACAGCCACTTCCACACCAGAGACAATACTTCCCATAGTCCCGCATCCCCACTCATGGGGCTTTGTAACAGCACGGCCGGCTAAAAAGCCTACAGACATGGTCTGTAAACACCTAGACTTACCTAAAAGGGACACACAAGGATAGCTCATCATGTCTTGGAATAATTTTGAGCAATTAGTTAAGCAGCTAAGTTTCCACTTGTTGGACTGAAATAATTTGAGGAGGCAGAAGCAGACTTGGGAACATGTCTTTTGGGGTCATGAGTGGTCAAGCAAAAGGACAGGCTGAGATTAAACACACTCGACACCGATACTCCCCCCGCTGCAACCCGCTTCCACCAAGCAAGGCCAGGACACTGAGCTGAGCCCATGGGCTGCAGCTGGACCAGGCCTGGCTTTCACATGCTCTCCACCTGTCTGGTCAGGACGTGGCCCTTAAGGCCCCATTTGGGCCCACCCTGTCCTGTGCAAATTCAATGCTGTGAGAAGTGGCAGAATCCTAAAGGGCCAAAAGAGAGGGTGTTTCACCAGGAAAGTCTGTTTCTCCCGGGATGTTTGTGTCTGTATGTGTCTTTTTTTGTGTGTGTGGGTGGGAGGCATCTGTCTCCGTCTTCCCCAGTTTTCTTCTCTCACTCTGCCTGGGCACCTGTCCCTCTCTGTTTAGGTTTCCATTTTCTTTCCACTCTATAAAAAGCCAGAAGGTAGACCAGAAGGAGATTTTGTAGTGTTTGTTGTACTTAATTGAGGAAAGGTTTATGTTCCCATTTCCCCAAGAAGATGCATGGCATCTTAGTAAAAATCAAAAGAAATTGTTAGTATAACTCCGTTTAGGTTACCCTGCCCTGAATATAAAATATTCTGGGCCACTTGGGGGAGCCCAGGCAGCTTAGGGCCAGGGATGGATCGGTGGGACAGAACCCTGGCTTCGAGTTCGCTAAGAACTCAAGGGGCAGAGTAACAGGTGTGGGTGGTCAGTGAAATATTTCTTCTTCAACCTCAGCATTGAGGGCTGGGATGGGAAGCTGAGTCTCTTTAGCACTAGGCCATCTAGAATCTGGAAACTTCCTCACCTCTGCTCGGCAGACAGGATTCTGGCCCATGAGCCTTCTGAGTGGGAGCCTACTCTGTGCTGTCAGACTTCTGGGAAGAGAATTTACACTTTCTAGCGATTTTCCAAAGGGTCTCTCACCCAAAGAAGGCTGAAATCACTGCTTAATAAGTCTAAATATATAGATCCAGGGACGTTTTGGGGGGAATGGACGGGACTGTACCAGGCACTATGAATCCTGTCTGCCGAGCAGAGGTGAGGAAGTTTCCAGATTCTAGATGGCCTAGTGCTAAAGAGACTCAGCTTCCCATCCCAGCCCTCAATGCTGAGGTTGAAGAAGAAATATTTCACTGACCAAGGAGACTGGAGGGGGCTGGTGGCTGGGCTAGGGAAACGCTGCCTGGAGGGCCTCAGTTGGAACAGGGTGGGACCTCCGGGAAGAGGGCCAGGATTTGGGGGGGGGTGATTGAAAGAGACCATGGGCTTTGGGCGGCAGGCGAGTGTGTGGGGGGGAGGATAGAAAAAGACATGTAATTAATCACCCAAATATAGACTAAAGAAGGCAGCAAAGGAGTTTGGGGGGCGCTGGAGCAGGGGACGGTGGCCCCCAGAACGGTTTACAGAAAAAGCCCTGTTTAAACCGAGGAGGGCCTTGAGCCCGTCTTCACCCGGCGAGGGTGCCCCTCCCCCTCCCTCATAGCTCTTGAGCTCTAGCGCCCCCATCCTCCCCGCCAAGCTGAGGATCGACCCCTACCAAAAAGGAAAGGAAGGACTCCACTAGCAGGAACCGTCCGCGGCTCACTCATGCGGCGCCTCTGACTGCGACTGAGCCCCTCCCCCAAACCCGGGAAAAGCCCTTTAAACACGCACACCAACGCTCCCTCCCCCTCCACCGCGCTTGGGGAGAGGGTCTACTCCTTCCCACACTGACCCGTTCCCACCCCTTAGCGTCTTCCAAAAAAGCAACATAGGCCTCAACACGCCCGCAATTCCCGCCGCCGACCGCCGCCCCCCACCCGCCGGAGGAAGGCCTTCGGGCCTCCTCGGACCCGCCATCCGAGACCGGTTCACCCCTCCAGCTGGCCGAGACGTCCTCCCCAAACAAGGCTTGACCATACCCACCCCCACTCTCCGAAACACTCACTCCAACATCGCACACTCTCCGAGGTTATCTCCATGAGCATCCTCCTGCTGCCCGAACGATCATCTCGGCCCCGCACATTCACCCGCGACTCCGCGCGCGCACTGTCCTGGGCCTCCAGGACATCCTCTCGCGGCCCAAGCGATCATCCCTCTCCACACACCCTGCCGCGCTCCGCGCACATCCTCTCATGACCCGCACGCTTACCTCGGCCAGGCGGCAGTTGACGCTCGGCCCTCGGCGAAGCGGCGCTGGCACGGCCCAGGCAGGCCCGGCGTGGCAGGAAGCGCCACGGAGCGGACCGCGTCTGGGTGAGCCCAGCAGCCCCTCGGCGCGTTTCCGGAGCCGCGGGCGCAGCCAGGGGTAGTGGGGAAACGAGGCCCCGCCCCGCCCCCGGCCCCTCCCGGCCCGCGGGTTCCGATTGGCCCAGAGAGGAGGCAGGGCGGGAATGGGGCGGGACTGAGGCCTGGGGGGAGGGTCAGGCCAGAGCCCCTGGGAGTCGCGCGCGCGGGCTCGAAGCCAGGTTGGAGGGGGGAGGAGTGGAATGAATGTACCAATGAATGAATGAATGAATGAATGAATGAACGAACGAACTAGCGAACGAGCCGACCAACCCACGAAAAAGGGAACGAGGGAATGTAAAAGACCCCTTTCCCTTGGGCACCTTCTGGACGGGGATGATGGCGGGGAGACGAGAAAGGCGCGCGAAATAAAGCAAAGTCAGCCCCCTTCCCACCTCGGAAGTGTCGAAGCGCCTTACTGAGTCACCAAAAATGTGAGCCCTGACTTTGCCGGGCATTGAGAGGATATCTGTGAGCAAAACCAGGCCGCATGCCTGCCCTCTGGGGGTGCACATTTTGGCGCCTAAGAGCGCCTGTGAGTATGTGTGCGCGCGCACTTGCGGGGGTAGGGGTGGAGGAGAACTCGCTTGGGTTAATTTCAAAATATCAGGTCATAATGTGAGGGAAAAGAACTGGATTCTTGGATCTGGGGTGCTGCAAGTAACGATAGCTAGTTCCAGATGAATTTGCTGTCGGTCAACCAAAACCTATGAAGCTGCAACCGCCCTGCAGTGTGTTAAGCCCGTCGGTGCTTTCCTGAAAATGCCAATTTGAAAAGGAAGATGATAATCGACAAGGATCACCATGCAGCACATCAGAGTGTGAAGAACATCAATTAGGGTGATGGCTGGGGGACTTCAGTGAGATGAGACTTGAATGACAAGAAGGACTCAGCCATGTGAAGGTTGTTGAAGACAGGAAAAGCATCCACAGAAAAAGGAACAGCAAATGCAAACAGCCTGGGACAAGAGCAAATTGGGCATGTTCCAGGATCAAAAGTAAATGCTGGAGTGCAGTAAGTAAGCCAAGGGAAATAAGAGTCACGCTGGAGCGGTGGGCCAGGGATTAATGTTAAGTCTGAAGGACATGGTCTAACTTTTTTCTTCATTTTAAAAATTAATTAGCATTCAATGCTTTATTAGAAATAACAGTTATAACCAATTTCTTAAATATTACATGCTATCAATTTTTTCTTATTTTCCCTCCATATTTTATTATGAAAACTTTGCAACATACAGATGAATTGAAAGATTTGTACCCAGGTACCATTATGCTCTACTTCCTTGATTGCATGGTCATCCTTTTGTTACTGATCCATTTCAAAGTAAGTTGCAGATATCGATCAGTACACTTTGCCCCTAAACCCTTCAACATACATAGCATTAGCTAGAGACCAATACCTGTTTACTGTTATTTTTGTTTTTTGGAGGTAAAATTTACATACAGTGAAACACACACATTTTAAGTGTCCCCTGCAGTGAGTTTTGAGGAATGCATACTCCAGACTCCTGTCAAGATACAGAACACTATCAACACCCCAGTAATTTTTCTAGTGCCTATTCCCAGTCAGTCTCCACCACAATCCCACACAGGGGCAACCACCCTGTTTTTTTTCCACCATAGATTACTTTTGCCTGTTTGAGAATTGAGAACTTCGTAAATGGGCTAATGTGGTATACGCTATTTCATGTCTGGATTATTTCATTCAGTATGATAATTTTGAGATTTATCTGTTGTTGAAGGTGTTACTGCTTTTTTTTTTTCATTTATTACTGAGTAGTATTTCACTGTCTAGATGTATTGGACTTGTTTCATTCACTCCTCACTTTCCAATCTGGGTTGCTTCCATTTTAGACTACTATAAATAATGCTATTAGGATCATTTGTGTACACGTTTGTGTCAACATATGCTTTCTTTTTTACTTGGGCAAGTACCTAGATAGGGAATTGCCATGTTATAAGATATCGTTTTATAAGAAACTGCCAGAATATTCTGCAAAGTGGCTGTACAATTTATGTTCCCACCAGAAATGTATGAGTCCCTTTTATTTCCAATCCTCCTTAACAATTGGGGTTGTCAGCCTTTATTTTTAGCTATTTAAGTGGGCGCGAAGTGGTAACTCATTGTGATTTGAATTACCATCTCCCTGATGACTAATCATGTTGAACATGATGTTTTTATGTGCTTACTGGCCACTTCTCTATTTCCCTTTGTAAAGTGTCTGTTCAAATAGCTTGCCCACTTTTATGGGATTGTTTGTCTTTTTATTATTTACTTGTGGGTATATTAAAAAAAACAACAAGATCTTTGGAGGTATATTTGACATATGACAACCTGGACGTGTTTAAACTGTACAATCTGACAAGGTTTGACATGAAACCATGACCATGATCGAGGCAATCAACATATCCATTACTCTCAAAGTTTCCTCGTGTCCCTTTTTAGTTCCTCTCTCCCGTCTCTTCTTGTTTCTCTCGTCCTCAAGCAGCCACTGATCTATTTTTTGTCGTTATAGGGTAGTTTGCATTTTCTAGAGTTTTATATAAATGGAATCATATAATAAGTGTTCTTTTTGTATCTGGCTCCTTTCACTCAACAAAATTATTTTGAGATTCATCCATATTGTTGCATGTACTAACAGTTCATTCATTTCTATTGCTGAATGGTATTCCATTGTGTAAATGTACCATAATTGGTTTATCCACCCATTGGTTGATGGACATTTGTGTTGTTTCCACTTTGGGGCAACTATAAATAAAGCTGCTATGAACATTTGTATACAAGCCTTTATTTGGATATGTATTTCTTGTTATCTTGGGTAAGTACTGAGGACTAGTATGGCTGATAATATAGTAGAGGTACACTTAACTTTTTAAAAAACTACCCAACTGTTTTATAAAGTGATTACACCTTTTTAATTTCCATCAGCAGTGTAGGAGAGTTCCAGTTGGTCCACATTTTTGTGAATACTTGATATGGTCAGTCTTTTTAATTTTAGCCATTTTGATAGATATATAGTATAACCTCATTAGGGCTCTAATCTGGATTTCCTTGTCTAGTGGCGTTGAGCATGGTTTCAAATTCTCATTAGCCATCTGTATATCTTCTTTGGTGAAGTGTCTGCTTAAATTATTCCTTTTGCTCATTTTATTATTATTGGGTTGTTTGTCTTCTTATTAAGTTGTAAGAGCTCTTTATAGTTGTAAGAGTCTTTTGTCCTGTATATGCTTTGCAAATATTTCCTCTTGGTCTATGGCTTGTCTTTTCGTTCTCTTAACAGTGTCTTTTGAAAAGCAGAAATTCTAAATTTTGATTAGCTAGCTAAATTTATCAAGCTACTCTTTTATGAATTATGTTTTTCGTGTTATATCTAAGATATCTTGGCTAACTCAAAGTCATAAAGATCTTATTTTCTTTTAGAAAAAGTTTTATGGTTTTAGATTTTATATTTATTTATATTTCTGATCCACTTTGAGTCATTTTTTGTATGTAGTGTGAGATAGGGGTCAAAGTTCATTTTTGTGCATGTGGGAATCCCGTTATTCCAGCCTGATTTTTTGAAAAGACTGTCTCTCTCTGTGGTACTATTCTGTGATTTTGTCAAAGATCAGTTGTCCATAAATGTGTAGATTGAGAACTCTCTATACTGTCCCATTGAAGTATTTTCTATCTTTACACCAGTAATGTGCAGTTTTTATTACTGTAGTTTTATAATATTTTTTGAAATCTGAAAATGGAAGTTCTACAACTGTTATTTTCAGTGTTGTTTTCACCAGTCTAGGCTTTTTGCATTCCCAAATAAATTTTAGATTCATCTTGGTTTCCAGAAAAAAATGTCTGATGGGATTTTGATTGGAACTGGATTTAATTCTGTACATCGATTTGGGGTGAATTGACGTCTTAACAATATTGAATTTTTTGACCCATGAAGGAAGTCTCTCTCCCCATTGCTTTTGGTCTTTAATTTTTCTCAGCAATGTTTTGTAGTTTTCAGTGTACGAGTCTTTCATATCTTTTGCCAGGTCAATTCCTAAGTGTCGCATATTTTTATGCTATTGTGAATGGTATTGTTTTTAAAATTTAAATATCTAGGATTGTTCATTCTTAGTATGTAGAAATGCAATTGTTTTTTGCATATGAATCTTAGCAGGAACACATAGAATTCACCAATGCATATGCACCAATAGCAGAATTTCAACCTATATGAAATAAAACTCAACAGAATAGAGAAATAGATATTTCTACAATTATAGTCGGAGATTTTAACACCCTTGCCTCAGCAATTGATACAACGACAAGAAATCAGTAAATATATAGAATATCTGTATGACATTATCAACCACCTTTACTTCCTTGAAATTTACAGAACGCTATACTCAGCAACTGCGCACGATAGATTCTTTGCAAGGGCACATCGTACATTAACTTCAATAGATCAAATGCTGGGCTATGCAACAAATCTCAATACATTTGGAAAAAACTTAAATTTTACATAATAAATTATTTGTGTTTATGGTGGCATTCTATTATAAATTAATAATAATAATATATTCCCAAATATTTGGAAATTCAACATTATGCAACTAAAAGAACCCATAGGTCAAATAAGAAAACACAAAGGAACTTAGAAAATATTGAAATGGGTTGATAATAAAAATAAAAGATCAAAATTAATGGGAGACAGCTAAAGAAGTGATTAGAGGAAGATTTTTTGTTTTAAATCTTATATTAGAAAAGAAGAAAGGCACTACGATTGTCGTTCATAGGCCATTTTGGGGCTGGAGGGGCAGCTTTGCCTGATTCCAAAGCCCACGCTTTTTCCAATGCATGGACTTCCTTATTGGGGAGGGTCCAGTTTGCAGCATAAGGAGCTGTGATGAGGCTCCTGAGTTGAGACCAGCCATCCCGTGTCTGTTGTTGGGGTTCCTGGCATGATGACATTGGCCGGGGAATACAGAGAGGCACGAGGGACATAGCACCCAGCTGCCCACTGACTCCCATCTT